GGCGCACAAGGTCGGGGCTCGAGTCCCCCCTCGCCCCCGACGCAGCGTAGGGGCTGGGACCCGGCCTGGTGCAGGGCGCCTGGGAGCGAGTGTCTCCTCAAGTTGTGTGTGGTTTCATCCGCCTTCTCGTCCCTCCTCCGGCGCGTGGCAAGCGTCAAGTTTCCAGGCGGCTCAGTTGGCCGACGCACGGAGTTACTGCCACTCGCCGCCTCCCACCCACGCGCTCTCGCCGGGGCAGGAGCTCCCCTCCGTTGCCACTACGGCCGCTGCCGTCCCCCACTTTGCAGATCTTCAGGGTCCCAGGGCGTCCGCCGGAGGCCGCGTGTTGAAGGGGAGGCACGGGAGAGGGATGGGGCTCAAGATCGCAGTCGGACATCCCCATTCCCAAGCCGGAGAGGCCACTCCCCCTCCCGTCAAAGACGCGGGATTCAGGGAGGACGCAGTCCCGCAGCATTTGTTGGAGGAGACACTGGGAACCCAGGCCCAGGGTTTGCTGCGGAATGGGGGACGCAGCGGGCGACAAGCCGAGGACTTGGGGCGCCCCGGAGCGGGGGAGACCCAGGAGACCCGCGCACCGGGGCGGCCGAGGCGCGCTGTCCAAGGGGTTAACAGCGCGCCCCGCCCCGCGCCCGGGGATTGGCGGCCCCGGGGGGCGTGGCTGGGGGCGGGCCCGCGTTTGCCGCAGCCGCTGGTGGGCGGGGCCGGGCGGGGAGCGGGAGGGGCGCGGAGCGCAGCCGGGCCCGCGCCGCGCGCCCCGCCGGGCGGGCTTCGGGCTGCGCCAGCGAGCCGGGCCGGTGGTGCCCGCGTCCGATACCCAGCGCCAGACCCAGAGGCAGCGAGTGAGTGAGTCCGCTCCACGCCAACGCCCCTCCCAGCTCCGGTCTGCCTCCGTGGCCGCTGCGTCGCGCGGTGCGTCTGGCCGGACTCGGAGCTGGGGAGGGGGCGCGTCCCGCTCCTGGGGTCCTTGGGTGGGGGCGGGGAGGGGAGCAGAGAGGAGGCCAGTGATGTCATGGATGCTTCGCCCGGTCTTTGAGGGGGAGGTGGCGGCCGGAGGGGGTGCGGCCCGGATTATGTCACCTCTTCCCTCTGCGCCCCGCCCCCCGGGGCCCCACGCGTTGGTGGGGAGCACGGGGAGGTGCGGGCGGGATTTCCCCCATTCTTGAGACCCTGGGCACCTTTGTGGACCGTCTGTGGCCAGGGTCTTGCGCTCTCTCTGCTCTGCGGACCGTAGGCTGCTGGTGCATGGCGACCCCCTCCTCCAGCGGAGACTCGCGTGTGTGTGTGTGTGTGTGTGTGTGTGTGTGTGCGCGCGCGCGCGCGCGCGTGCGTGTGCTGGGAGTGGGAGGGGTGCGCGTTGCCGGCCCCCTCAGTCCTCAAGCACCGCTCTTCATAGCCAGGCTCCAGGGGATGATCTAAAATCTCCCCTCATATATCCCAGCCAAGAAGTTCTGGAGATCTCTGCACCCTTCCCGCAAACCCTACAGTGCCCCCACATCCTCCTCCCCACTCAGTCCTTCTTCCCGGGAGCCCTCCCTGATTTCTCTGCCTGAATTCATTTCCTGTTTGCAGCTTTCATAACTACCATTACCCCCTGTTTTGTGTGTGTGTGTGTGTGTGTGTGTGTGTGCGCGCGCGCGCGTGTGTACCAGGGAGGGAGGCCCAGAGGCCCCCAAAATTCCCCCAGTTGGTGCTCCTGGAGCACCCGGAGCCCATCCTTGGAGGAGATTCTGAATGAAATCTTCCTGGAGTGTTGTGAGATGGGTGCTCCTAAACCCCCTTGCGCAACAGTGGGGCATATGTGCCAGGAGGCGGCATTTGAACTGTTTCTAGAAGGCTGTGGGTTAAGCTGAAAGGAGGTCTGTGTGTTGGAGAGGGACTCAGGAGGGGCCCCGGGGAGACTGCTGCAAGCTGTGCTCTGCTCACATGGGGCTAAGGGGAGCCCCAGGCCTTTTACCCATCATGCCTTGACTCCTGCAAGGTAGGTGTGAGAACCCAAGGTGAAATCACCTGCCTAAGGTTCCACCCACCCCCACCCCCTCATGGGGAGCTGTGATTTACACCTGCAGCTGACGCTGTTGTTGCCTCAACTCCCGGACTCCTGCTCTTGGCCCTGGTCCTGGCAGAATCTGGCCAGAGCCAGATCAGCTTTGCCCTTTAGAAGAGTTCCTTGGCAGCTGCTCTGGGAAGGGAATGCAGGCCGAGGAGCAGGCCAACCAGGACCCCTCCCCAAACCCACCAGAAAGGATGCTTGGTGTGGGGATGGGGTCCACTGAGGTTGTTAGGAGGTGGGATGGGCTGGCCTCAGGTGTGTTCCAGCTTTGGGAGAGACACCAGTGGATTGGAGGGACCTGTCTGAGCAATCCCCCAGGAGAGTCCAGTTAGCCCCTGTGTAATGTGTAACATTCCGACGCTGAGGACAGAGGTGGACACCTGAGCAAGGTGTCTTCTGATGTCATGAAGCCGCCTTTGCAGCCTGCTCTCAGTTCCTTGGGTCGGTTGTAGACTCTGAGCCACAAGATAAAGCTCAAACCCTTTCCTTTGGCTCGTTTCTACTTCTCAGGGAGAAAAAACGAATATCTCCAGCTCCCTGCAGTCAGAATGATGGCAAGAAGCTCTTGTGGGGAGCAAGACTCCAGGGAGAGTTTCTGTAGGTTGCTAGTCCAGGGTTCCACAGCCAGAGCCCAGAGAGAGAAGGATGATGGGTGGAAGGACTCTAGGACAACAGTGGGCCATAGTGACACACCACCAGCCCTGGCCTATGCTCCGAGATGCTGGCACTGTGTCTGTGCTGCACCTTATAAGTGGACAGAACACCTGCCCAGGCATGCTTGTCACTCTCCACCAGCACAACAAGCACTCTTGGGGTTTGGTCTGACCCCTACCCAGGCCCCAGCTGTAGCCTCCCCCCACCCCGGCTGGCTCCCTTGCCTCTATCTTTGATCTCTGCCATCAGCAGTAAAACATGTAAAAAGCCGTTGGATCTCAAGTCTCCTGGAAAACGGTGCTCTTCCTGGGTCCTCTCGCTCCCTCCTTAGCCCTCTCACTCACCGTCTGCCTTTCCCAGGTACTACTTTTTCTGAAACCATTCTGTCACGGATACCAGTGATATCCCAGCTGCCAAGTCCAGGGCCCATTCTCCCTCTCGAACCGCACCTCGGCTCCTTTCTTTCTTTGCCACCAGGAGCTGTGCCCACATTCTTTCTATTTTTATTGATGAAAGATGGACAGATAGAGACAGAGGTCTCATTCACTGGTTCACTCCCCAGATGCCTGCACTGGCCAGGGGTAAGGCTGAGCAAAATGGAGAGCTGAGAATGTGCTCTGGATCTCCCACGTGGCTGCTATCACTGAGCCATCACCACTGCCTCTCCTCCACGTTATCAGGAAGCTGGAGCTAGGAACCAAACCTGGGCGTTCCCACAGGGGAAGCAGGTGTTTTAAACAACCAGGCACAACCTCATCCCACACCCCCACATTCTTGAATTCCTGCCTCCTATCTTGGGCCCACCTATTCCTGGCCTTCTTCCTTCCAAAATTTGGGGAGCTCTGCTCCCCTTAGTGTGGGGCTGGGCTCCACACCACCCTGGAATGCTGACAGTCTGTGCTTGCGCCATCAGGTAGGATGGAGGCGCTTTTCTCTTGTTGTCGCCAAAGCACCTGTTTCCCCCTAGGCAGTCTCCTCCTGTACTAAGGGTGTCACCGCACTCTAGTGCCCCAGCCTATCCCAGCCCCCTCCTGTCCCCAGTACCTGAACTCCCATCTCTGAGATTTTTCCAGTTCTTCTCCAACCCTCCCCAGGACTTCCCACTGATAACAAGCTCCAGGCCACTCAGCTGCCACCCTCCCGGCCCCCAACTACTCCCTACCTTGCACCCAGGCTGGTAAGAAAAGCAGCTAGGCGTGTTTAGCATGAGAGGGGTAGCAGACTGGGGAGAGGTGGTGGTGCAGGGGCCAGGGTGAGGCAGGAAATGATGTTGAAGGAGGCCCTCAAACCCAGGGTCCTGCAAGCCTGCATGTGGGGGACCGGCTAGCCACTGGAAGAGGGGTCTGGCTTGCTGATAGACTTCCCAGCCCTAGGGGCCTTCAGTTTCTGGTGTGCTGGCCAAGAGGCTGCTGCTTTGGCCAAGCTGCCTTGGTCTGGGGCCTCAGGGAAAGGACTCAGCGTTAGAAGTGGGCTCCTGGGTAGGAGGCACCTAGGGAAATCCCTTCAGCTTGGTGTGGGGGGAGGTGGCAGATGTCTCTGCCGGGCTGGCTAATGCAGACCTCCAGGGGCCGAACAGAGACAAAGGAACCAGGAAGTGGGGCCTCTCTGAGCACAGAGGCCCCGCTCCCCCTGATCCTGTGGGCATGCATAGAAGGAGGGGAATTCACCCCCACCTCCACCACCAGTGCTGGGAGCCTTCACACGGAGCTGAAATGAACTGGGTCAAGGTCCACTGGGAACGGGGAACGGGGAACAACGGGGAAGGGGAGTAATCCAGGAAGTCTTCCTGATGGCAGTGAATTCTTAGCAGGGTTCTGCAGGCGCTGGATCTTGGGAATGGAAGGGGGGAGGGAAGCCACTGGTGGGGGCGGAGCCCTGCCCCTGTCCCCTCCCACTTGTGGGAAATGCAGGCCCAGAGAAGGGGAGGCACCACTGCTACCACCTCCACAGGCCTCAGCCCTCCGGGCCCTCCCATACCAAACCAGAGACCTCTGGGAGGACTTCCAGCCCCAGCCATCTGTAGGAGCATGGTGTGCCAGGGGTGGTGCCCACCAGAGACACCCACAGCTCCTGTCACCCCCCACTCCACCTGCCTCCAGACTCTAGTTCCTTCCCACAGCACCTGCTGCCTCAGCACACTTGGCACATGGCAGCTTGGTAAGTTGGTCCTATCTTTCCATTTTGCAGAGAACACTGCAGGCTGGGATGGCTCTGATGGCCCCTGCAAAGTCGCAAAGCTGGTTCGGGCGCAGCCCCTACTATGAGAGCAAGGCACCTGGCCCCTTCAGACCGGGCCTCGGAGGGTCCCAGGCTTGAGGACCCAACAGCTCCTCACACCGCTGGAAAGGCAAGAACAGCCTGCACTGGTAGTGAGCTTCTATCTCCTGGACTGCAACACCCTAGGTTCGGGAACTTGCAAGGATCCCTTCTCCCCTAGATCTCCTCCTCCTGCCCCACCCCACCCCTAGTTTCTGGATATAGGAAATTTTCTCTCCCCTAACTTCCAAGCTTCCTAGTTGGATTCAGGTACCAAGCCCATCACCACAGCCCGTGAGGTTGAGTATAGTGGCCTACCCCAAAGTAAAGAACTCCTAAATTCTAGGGGTCACTGTATGGGAGGCTCTTAGAGGCAGTGGGGTTAAACAGAAGCTGAGGAGTAGACAGGGAAAGCTGGGCAAAGCTGGGAGGGTCTGCACCGTGCCCTGGGTCTTTGTAGGATGGGCACCAGGTGGTCCCAGTCCTATGCCTTCACCTTGAAGGTCTGGGAACTCTGTACCCATTAAGGGGCGGGGGGTGGCAGTGGGGCCTGACCCAGCTGCCTTTCCACCTGTGCCCACAGTGCACCCCGACTTAGCTATGGCGAAGCTGGAGACGCTGCCCGTGCGTGCTGAGCCGGGACGGGACCCACTCCTGGCCTTTGCCCCGCGGCCTGCTGAACTTGGACCCCCGGACCCCCGCCTGGCCATGGGCAGTGGGGTGACCCATGCCCAGGAGTTTGCTATGAAGAGTGTGGGCACCCGCACAGGGGTTGGGGGCAGCCAGAGTGGTTTCCCAGGTCCCCGTGGTGGAGGTGGCAGTGGTGGCAGGGAAAGGCCAGGCCGCTGCCCCTCGGAAGACAAGGTTCTCGCCAACTCCCTCTACCTCAATGGCGAGCTGCGGGGCAGCGACCACACCGACGTCTGTGGCAACGTGGTGGGCAGCAGCGGGGGCAGCAGCAGCAGCGGCAGCAGTGACAAGGCCCCGCCACAGTATCGTGAACCCAGCCACCCACCCAAGCTCCTGGCCACCTCTGGCAAGCTAGACCAGGTCAGGCTCCAGGACTGGAGGAGTCACCCACAAGCCTGTCTGGGAGTGGGAGGCAGCCTGAGAGGAGGGCTGGAGGTTGGGGAGCCACAGAGCGGGGTTCTTGGATGTGGGGAGCCAACTGGGTTGGGGACCCCAGACAGAGATGCGCTGAAGGTGGGCGATGGGGCAGAAGCTGAGGTCCAACCTGAGGCCCCCTACCATGTCCCCCCCCCACCACCTTTTTTTCCCTCTTTTTTCTCCTTTGCTTTTATTCAGTGCTCAGAGCCACTAGTCCGGCCATCTGCCTTCAAGCCTGTTGTACCCAAGAACTTCCACTCCATGCAGAACTTGTGTCCCCCACAGAGTAACGGGACCCCAGAGGGACGACAAGGCCCAGGAGGCCTCAAGGGCGGACTGGACAAGTCCAGGACCATGACCCCAGCGGGCGGGAGTGGGGGTGGCCTCTCTGATTCTGGCCGGAACTCACTCACCAGCCTGCCCACCTACAGCTCCAGCTACAGCCAGCACCTGGCGCCCCTCAGTGCCTCCACCAGCCACATCAACCGCATTGGCACTGCCAGCTACGGCAGCAGCAGCAGTGGTGGGGGGGCAGGCTACCAGGACCTGGGAACCTCAGACAGTGGGCGGGCCTCCAGCAAGAGCAGCTCATCCACAGCCGCCTCTGTGGGGCGGCCTGGCCACTTGGGATCTGGGGAGGGAGGAGGTGGGGGTCTACCCTTTGCAGCCTGCTCCCCACCTTCTCCCAGCACCCTGATCCAGGAACTGGAGGAACGGCTGTGGGAGAAGGAGCAGGAGGTGGCAGCTCTGCGGCGCAGCCTGGAGCAGAGCGAGGCGGCCGTGGCCCAGGTCCTGGAAGAGCGGCAGAAGGCATGGGAACGGGAGCTAGCTGAGCTTCGGCAGGGCTGTAGTGGGAAGCTGCAGCAGGTGGCCCGCAGGGCCCAGCGTGCCCAGCAGGGCCTCCAGCTGCAGGTGCTGCGGCTGCAGCAGGACAAGAAGCAGTTGCAGGAGGAGACGGCCCGGCTGATGCGGCAGCGCGAGGAGCTGGAGGACAAGGTGGCCGCCTGTCAGAAGGAGCAGGCCGACTTCCTGCCCCGCATGGAGGAGACCAAGTGGGAGGTAGGGCCCCCACCGTCTGCCTTCCCTTCTGACTCTCTGGAGAACCTCAGAGCAGTAGCCCACTCCCTGGGGTAGGGTGAGAAAGGAATATGGGGGCAAGGAGCCCTTGAGGGCTCCCCCTGACCTGGGTGATTTGACCTCTGCTCTGCTTGTCACCCTGGCCAGTCTGATGAAGGGCTGGGGCAGGGCGGGCTTTCCCCGCATCACCTGGCCTCCCTGTCCCAGGTGTGCCAGAAGGCCGGCGAGATTTCCCTCCTGAAGCAGCAGCTGAAGGACTCGCAGGCCGATGTGTCGCAGAAGCTGAGTGAGATTGTGGGGCTGCGCTCTCAGCTGCGTGAAGGCCGCGCCTCGCTGCGGGAGAAGGAGGAGCAGCTGCTCAGCCTGAGGGATTCCTTCGGCAGCAAACAGGCCAGCCTGGAGCTGGGCGACAGCGAGCTGCCCACGGCCGCCTGCCTCAAGCCGCCACTCACCCCCGTGGACCCGGCCGAGCCGCAGGAGGCGGCGCTGGCCACCTGCGAAAGCGATGAGGCCAAGATGCGCCGACAGGCTGGGGTGGTCGCCGCCGCCTCCCTGGCCTCGGTGGACGGGGAGGCGGATGCCAGCGGGGAGAACGGGACGAGGGCTCTGCGGCGGGAGGTGGGGCGGCTGCAAGCTGAGCTGGCAGCCGAGCGGCGCGCCCGGGAGCGCCAGGGCGCCAGCTTCGCGGAGGAGCGCCGCGTGTGGCTGGAAGAGAAGGAGAAGGTCATCGAGTACCAGAAGCAGCTGCAGCTGAGCTACGTGGAGATGTACCAGCGCAACCAACAGCTGGAGCGGCGGCTGCGCGAGCGCGGGAGTGCTGGGGGCGCCAGCACACCCACCCCGCCGCACGGCGACGACAAGAAGGCCTGGACGCCCTCCCGCCTCGAGCGCATTGAGTCTACAGAGATCTGATCCATTCGCCACCTGGGCATTCGGCCTCCTGATCCGCACCCTGTTGGGAGACTGGGTCCCCAGCATCCCCTCTCTTCTCCTCTCCATCGCTTTTCCCATCCCCACCCCGTGTGCCCCATGTCCCCAGACCAAAGAGGTTCTCAAAGCAGCTGTGACCAAGTTCCTCCCTGCACTGTAGGGTGCTCTCCCAGCTCCAGCCCTGTCACCCGCCACCCTGGGGGTGTGGGGGTGGCCCTCCCAGACCCTCCTGGCCAGGGGGGAATGGAGGAGGAGGGCAGAGCCAGTCGGTCGAGGGCCCAGGCAGCAGGACGGTAGTGCTCCCTTTCATGGCAGCCCTTGTTGGAGATGGAGGCGGCAGGTCTGCAGTGCCACCAGGTGGCCCAACCCCTCTGGGTGGGGGTCTGGGTTACTTCTGTCGGCCACTTGGCATCCACTGAGCGTCTCCGCGCTTGCCTCATAGGCCAGGGACCCTAAAGGGGTCAACACAGGGTCAGCCAAAGGTGGCAGACCCTGGACCTCCTTCCTGGGCAAAATGGCAAGACGAGAGGGAGCAGATGGCCTGCCCGTGGTTGAGAGGGCTACCTGTCCAGCCCCTCCCCACCTCTCCCCCCAAAGGTCTCTTGGGGTCAGGCCTCAGAGGCTGGCCTGGTCCTGAGTGTGTGTGTGTGTGTGTGCGCGTCCCTAATGTGTGTTGAGGGGAGGGCAGGGCTGAGGGCTGGAAACCTTCCCGTTCTTGGCTTGACCCTCGCCCCTTTGGCCACAAGCCCGCAGCACAACAGCCCTACCTGCTTGGCTGACCCCACACCCAGGACCCCCGTCCAGCTCGTAGCACAGCTTTGAAATGCTGCTTGCCTCCCAGCACTCTCCTCAGGCTGAGTGCGGAGGCTGTCTTCCTGTGTTTTGCCCCCTCCATTCTCCCAGCCTCCCTCTGCTTTCACACTCAGAACATCCTCTTCCCAAGCTGCCCGGCTCCCCTCAGCCCTAAAAACAAAACAAAAAACTGCCCTTTTTCTGGTAGAAAAATCCTGTTTGACCTTCCGTGCGCTGCCCACTTCTCAGCTCCACTGGCCCTTGTTTTGGGGGCTGGGAGGGGAGGATTGGATGAGATTCCTGTTGAAGAACAAGGCTGAGCTGAGAGTGACCGTGGACTCTCCACTCCCAGATCCCACATTTGCCCAGGGAAAGGCCTGGCATGGCCAGCAGTAGGGGTTGGCACAGCTGATGCCACTTCCTTCTCTTGGAACCCTCTCAGAGTCTACTTCCCTAAGACAGGAAGGGAAACAAATTTCTAATTCACCAGCAATAAAAATCGGAGGTGGCATGGCCCTCAGCCCTTGTATTTCTCTCCTAAACTCTCTCTTCCTCCCACCCTCAAGACTGAGTTTGGGGGGGGGGTACAGGGTAGAGAGAGCTGGCGACTACTGTGAGCAAGTCCCCCCCAGCCTCGACCAGCCTCCTCCATGACTGGTGACTGTTTCAAGTGCTGTGTGTCCCCCACAAAGACAAAAGTGCCCCTCCACGTGGCCTCTAATTTTGCACACCCCCTTCCCGGGGCGCCTCAACGGGTCTCTTAGCCTGCTAAGAGGCCGTCCTGGCAACCACTGCCTGGTCCGTTCATCTTTCACTGCCCCTAAGCCTGGGCCACAGGGGCTAGGAGAAGAAAAGGCATTCGTAGGGAAAAAAAAAAAAAAAAAGAAAAATGAACAGTCTCAGCTTTGAGATGTCCAATTACAAAATAAATTATATATAAAAATATATATATATAAATATATATCTCTACCATATGTGATGGAAAGACTTTGATTTCCTTTCCCAAAGAAATAAACTGGAGAAACACCTCTTGGCGGTCATTGGTTGCCTGGTGTCTTTACAGGTGTGGGAAGTGAGGCCTGGGCGAGGGAGGGTTGGAGGCAAAGCTGGAGGGTGGCTCGAGGCCCATCTTCTCCACATTACCCGGGCGGAGGTGTCCTTCTGCATTTCTGCCCACTGGAGCTGTCTCTTGACCCGAGACTGCCCTCACAAAGATTTTAAGCTAGTTCCAGACTCAGAGTGCGGTGTGCAGTCACCTAGGCTGGCTTCCCGTGATCGGCAGGTCATGTATTTGCGGGTGAAATGCATGGCAGAGAATACTAAGAACAGCTGGGCAATTAGTGGTTAGACTCCAAGCACAAAAGAAACCCTGAGGTGCTGCCCAGCAGAGAGCTGTTCTTTTTAAGTTTATTCCCGCCCATCAGTTTCCCAGAACTCCTGGCCGGCGTCTTTGGCTGTAAGGAACTCGAGTTCCAAAACTCCTAAGAGTCCTACAGGAGCAGCCTAGGGGTGGGGATCGCGGAGCGCAGGTGTCGGCTCCTTGCTGACCCTGGCATCTCTCCTATCCCAGCAAGATTCCGCCTTGCCACAAGGGGGATTCTGCGGCTCTGGGAGGGGTCTGAAGCTGCACCACTAGATCTCTGAAACCAAAGATGTTGCCCAGAACCCTACCGGTACCTCCTTTAAATCTCGTTGGCCAGAACTCAGTCGCATGCTCCTCCCACTTCAGGTAACTCTGGGAAACGGAGTATTTGCAGACGGTCTATGCTCTCTCCGGTTCTGAGGGAAATATCATGCAGAACTGTCGTCAGCCACTAGCTGTGTTTGCCCTGGTCTGGCTGGCACGGACCTCTGCGTGTTCACACCTAAGCAAACAGTGTCCCCATCCCCGGCCACGAGGCTCCTAATAGGCATGTGTATCAGGCTCGTTTATACACTCTTCAGTAAGGAAAAGTCAAGTCTAACGTTTTCATGATTTCCCTGAGGCCGTAAAGCGCCCCTCCGCCGACCCCTCGGGATTCGAACCTGGATCTAAGACACCCGATGACACGTGCACAGCCACTCCCTCCAGGTCGCAGTCTCCCTCGTCTTTTGCAGTCGCAAGCGTCCTTGGGAAACGCTTGCGGCGCCTTCTGAGCCTCGGCGGCACCCGTCTGCGTCCCCGGCGGCGGAAGCGGTGAGCAGCGGGACGGAAGGGGAGCGCCGGGAGCCGGCGGTGTCGCCGGGAGCCCTCGGGTCTGAGTGTGTGTCGGTGGCGCCCGCCCGGGCCAGGCTCAGGTGAGAGGGCAGCGGCTTCGCGAACGGCCTGGGCCTCAGCGTCCGCGCGCAGGCTCGCGGGCGGCTCTCGGCGACCCTCGCCCCTCTGGGGTTCCGCGACCTTGGCCGAGAGCTTGAGCCGAGCCTTGGTTTTCTTTCTTGTGTCGGTTGGGGGGGCGGTACGGACCCTTCTCTCGGGGGGGCTGTCGTGACGTCGGCCGCCCCTGCTGCCCCTACCCCCCGGCTGTACCTGGGGACGGTTCTGCAAGGTGGGGTGCGGGGCTTGTAGCTTAGCGTTGGGGACGAGGTGAGACTTGAATTATCGGCACAACAACGTATGCACCCTTTTGCATTTGTGGTAGTTTCTGGCTGTAGAAAGGGTCCGTTTAATCTCTCCCAAGATAAAAAGATGGCTCCCCCACTACCCCCCGCCCCCGCCCTCCACTGTTTGCCCTCCACGCCCCAGGGACCTAAGGGGGTCCTCACTGTCGTTCCCCGCAGACCCGTCTGCTGGAGCTGCTACCCGCGGCCTGGACACTCGCATTGTATCCCTCGCGTCTGCTGCCTCCGGGTCCGTAATGGCCTACCCTGGGGGTGCACGTCCACCTCCCCCCAGCCCGGTGTGGCTTCCAGCCAGCCTGCAGTCCCTGTGCTCCTGCCTTGTAGACCAAAATGGAACCTCACGATGTACTACCCCATCGGGCAGCTGAGAACGCAAGGCCTTTGGCAGCTGGGCAAGACACAGCATGGTGTCCCATTCAGTGGTTTATGTATCTATTTATGTAATTATTTTGTTTTAAGTAGTGCCTTATCTAGCATTGTAAGAATCTTGAAGCTCTTCCTGTGCTTGTCTGAAATGCTGGGACCCAGCTTTGCTTAGTGTGAAAGCAGGTAGAACTCGGTGTTTGTTTCAGCTGACAGTGGTAGCGGCTGGGGTCACTGGGGGATTACATCCCCTGACCATGGGGAGAAGGCGGACATTTCGCTTTGTCTGCTTACATCTTCTCATTCCTCTTTGAGTCCCATTGTGATGGGCTACAGGGACAGAGATGCTAGTTGTTAGTTGGAGGAAAAAAAAAAAACATTTTTTTTTTAAAGACAGTCTTAGGTCAGTCTTAAAGACAGTCTTTAAAACAGTGACTTGAGTCGGATGTTTGGCCAACAGTGAAGCCTCCGATTGGGATATCTGTCCTGGAATGCAAAGCCTGGGTTCAGGTCCTGGACGCAGCTTTCTGCTCCTGTACCGACTAGGTGGCAGGAGAGATGACTGGTTGGGGTACCTGACATCCGCATGGGAGAGCTGGGTGAGTTTCCTGTTTTCATTTTACGAGCCCAGCCATTGCCAACATTCTGGGAGTGAACCAGTGATGGGAGCTCCCTGTCTCCCCACCTCTCAGTATAAAAAGCATTGGTTCTAACACCATGATCTTGGGGGCTTCTCCAGGAGGTCTACCCTCTGTGTTTCTTGTCACTCTGGTAGAAGAGTAGCAGTCTAGGGAGGGGAGAAAGGGGTTTGGGCTGTAAGCTGATGTGATGTGCTGTTTTGTCTGTTATAGTATGGACTCTACAACAGAGGAGGGGTGATTGCTAGCTTGATTTTGGCTTGGCCTGAATAACTTTGCACTAATGGTCCTCATAGAGGCATCTCTTGGCGGCCCTGCTTCAGTGTGGAAGTGAAGCTTGGAAGAGAAGAGATTGAAGGGGTTAACATGCTCGTTAACTGCTAGGTAGAGGTCCTTACTGTCAGTCTCAGCCAGAACTGGAGAGTATCCGGCCCACAGGCTGCAGAAGGGCCTGCAAGGTCACTTCACCTTTTGTTTGTTTTTTAAATATTTATTTTATCTTTATTGAAAAGTCATCTACAGAGAGAAGGAGAGACACAGAAAGATCTTCCATCTACTGGTTCACTCCTCAAGTGGCCACAATGGCTGGAGCCCATCTGGTAGGGAACCAGGAACCTCCTCCAGGAATCCCACATGGATGCAGGGTCTCAGGCCTTGGACCATCCTCCACTGCTCTCCTAGGCCACAAATAGGGAGCTGGATGGGAAGTGGAGCATCTGGGACACGATCCAGCAGCCATATGGGATCCTGGTGGTGGCAAGGTGAGGATTTAACCACCAGACCATTGCGCTGGGCCATGGCCTGCTTTTAAATTGATAATTGTGTTTGGCCCATGAATGATGTTGTAAGTATCCACATAGCCCTTGTCAGCTAAGAGGTTCCCCACTCCCCATTACACCCTCACTCATGGCTTTCCATCTTTGTAAACCCTCAGCAGAATACCTCATTGTCTAGGGAAGGTTAGCTGTTTTATTAATTTGCTGAGGCAAATGGTGTTTGGAATATCCATTTAAGCATGGTAATTTGCATGGGACATGGGAAGGTCGAACCTTGCTAGCAAGAGGGTCAGAACTGAGGGAGGAGACTTGGTAACTGATAAACTGTGTAGTCTGTGGTGGGCTTGACCACTCCTCTCCTGACTTCTGGACTGTAGCTGAAGCTGTTTGGCCGTGTTCAGGCCTGCAGCTGGAAGGCAGAAAGGTAAAGACGCCTGGCTCCTGTCAAGTCATGTCACTGAGGGTGGTCTGGCGAGGATCCTGTTTCTGAAGCTCCACCCCTTTCCAGGGGTGGGGAAGGGTATAGCTGAGGCCCCTGGCAGTGGTGTCCCAGGCCTCTGAGCTGCTGGGAAGCAGTCAGGAGCCAGTTGTCTCTCATGTGGAGTTTTCTCTCTCAGGTGCCCTCTGGGCATCCTGGAAGAAGGACGAGTGGGCTCAGTGGGTGTTCTTGCCGGACCACCCGGTCAGCCTCCTCTCCTTTGTGACACCTTTTCTCCCTACTGCTGTACTTTCGTTGCTTTTTTCTTTTTTTAAGATTTATTTTATTTTTATTGGAAAGGCAGGTATACAGAGAGGAGAGACAGAGAGGAAGATCTTCCGTCCCATGATTCACTCCCCAAGTGAGCGCAACGGCCGATGCTATGCAGATCTGAAGCCAGGAACCTCTTCTGTGTCTCCCACGTGGGTGCAAGGTCCCAAAGCTTTGGGCCGTCCTCAACTGCTTTCCCGGGCCACAGGCAGGGAGCTGGGTGGGAAGCAGGGCTGCCGGGATTAGAACCGGCGCCCATATGGGATCCCGGGCGTGCAAGGCGAGGACCTTAACCACTGCGCCATTGCGCCGGGCCCTGCTTTTTTTTTTAAGTTAGGCATTTATGTTAGATTTTTTGTTTTTTTTTAAGATTTACTTATTTTTATTGGAAAGTTAGATATACAGAAGGGAGGAGAGACAGAGAGGAAGATCTTTGGTCTGATGATTCACTCCCCAAGTGACCGCAGTGGTCGGAGCTGCGCCACATCACTCAGAGCACTGGGTCACCACCAAAGGTTGATGTTCTAGGAAGGGGTTCTTGTGGTCATTTCAGGCAGTGTACAGTGATTTCATTCAGTACTCGTAGATACTTAGTTGAATTTTTAAATTTTTTTAAGTATATTTTATTTATTTGAAAAGCAAAGCGACAGAGACACACACACACACACACACAGCGAAGAAAGTTCTTCCATCTCTGCTGGTTCACTGTCCAAATGGTGCAGTGACCTGTCTGAAGCCAGGAGCTTCCTCCAAGTCTCCTCCATAGGTATAGGGACCCAAGTGGGTAGCTAGATCAGAAGCCAAACAGTTGGACACAAGCTGGCGTCCATATGGAATACTCCTGCCCCAGAGCCACAGGGAGCAGGGTTAACCTACCGTGCCATTGCACCAGGCCCTAAGAATAGTAGTTATTCAGTGTGTTATTTATAGAGATTTCTTTCATTAACTCATATGCTCTTCAAAATCAATAATCTTAGTATCAATAAAAAGGAGGAAAAGTTATCCTAGATATGACAGGAATTGTCTCACAGAGAAGCTGTGCAGTTCATTTACTTTTCTGTAAGTGTGTTTTGGGGGATGGGCTGGCTTGTTCTCTGCTGCGCTGAATCTCTGTGCATTTGCGGACACCAGCCACCCCCAGCTGGGTGAACATTTGGGTGGTTCTCAGCTTTTAGTTAAGTGTTAACACAGCTATTTTTAATGGGATCTTTTTTTCTATATTAATATTATTCTTTCTTTCTGTATTCCGGGGTAAAGGGAGAGATAAAAGGAAAAAACCTCACCCAAGCTGCCACCCATCTCAGGTCCCTGACATGGGGCATGCTGCAAGGGTCCTGCTCATGCAGGTTTGATAGTTCATCAGTTCTGAATTGCTGCCAATCTCACCGTTCCAAGCATGATGAAATATCTTCAGAATCCACTGGCTGACATAGTCTGTTCATGGCTGGGGTTCTGAGATCAGCAGTTCAGTTGGAGGGAATCTCCAAACAAATTTTGTCTAAGGTGATCCCAGACCTGGTTTTTTTTGTTTTGTTTTGTTTTGTTTTTAAGATTTATTTTATTTCTTTTGCAAAGTCAGATATACAGAGAAGAGGAGAGACAGAGAGGAAGATCTTCTGTCTGATGATTCACTCCCCAAGTGACCGCAACGGCCGGTGCTGTGCCAATCTGAAGCCAGGAGCCAGGAACCTCCTCCAGGTCTCCCTTGCAGGAGCAGAGTCTCAAGGCTTTGGGCCATCCTGGACTGCTTTCCCAGGCCATAAGCAGGAAGCTGGGTGGGAAATGGAGCTGCTGGGATTAGAACCGGGGTCCATACATACGGGGTCCCGGTGCGGCCAAGATGATTACCTTAGCCGCTAGACCACCGTGCTGGGGCCAGACCTGATTCTTGTGTGTTAATGCCAATACAGGGTCCAACACTGTCTGTCACCACGATCAACGCTGGTGGTTGCATTTGCTGGGTCGTTTCTGTTTTCCAGACCTGTCTTCCACGGGAAACAATGTGTGTTTCAGTCCAACCTGATTCTGTCCAGCACACACTTGGCCCTCTGGCAAAACAGTGGGAGCTACAGCCTGGTCGGGGCGACTCCCACTAACCCCCACCAGTCCTGTCCCCTACCCTGGTTCCCGTGCTTGCCAGAATGTACAGCAGACTTGTCCAGTCTGTCCCACATCCCATTCACCTCTTCTACATATCAGTGGGCACTGAGGCCTAGTTCAACCCAAGCAGCCCTACTTTCCAGCCCACACATGCTGGTGGGTGCCGTTCTGTCTGGCCACCCCTGCCCCAGGGGATGGGATTTTAAAAAGTTATTTCCTATGATGTGGCTTCCAAAATGAGAACGATCACAAATGTGAACACTTTATGGCTGCATTTGCACCCTGTTTTGGACTAAATTTAGATTCCAGCTTCCAGAACCGTTTTACAAAGCCTTGCTCTGTCAACTGGCAAATTCTGTCACTTGTCTGTCGCTTATTCTCCCCAGGCCTATTTTGCAATATCAACTGAGATTCCCAGTGAGTATCTTGGGGCCTATAAATCTTCAATTGTTACTAAATATTAAAGAAAAAGTTGTTTCAGTAATGCTTTTCCTTTGTTTTTCTAACATTTGAAGAATTGGCCATGTGTACTAGAAGTACACTAGCAGTCTGTAGCCAAGGCCAGCAGACTTTGTAAAGAACCACACTTCGTGGACCACACTGTCTCCACCACAGTTATGTGGCTCTGTATTAGTAATAAGAAAACAGACAAGTGACTTAGTGTTTTTTGGGTAAAATTGTATGTACCACAAGACATGAGCCGTAACACATAGTCTGCTAGTCCGTAGCATCAGAACCCATAGGGTGAAACTTGGTGGGCAGGATGGTCTACAGATCACAGGAAAGAGCCAGATGTTAAATATTGAATACGAAAATGTTTTCCTCCAGCTCATAAAGTGATTGGAGTTGACATTGCTGCCACCCAGGGAAGTCTGGGTCGCCGGGCATTTGGCCCAGAGTTGCTGCACTGCTCTATGAGCCTGTTTCTCATGGCAGGGAGGGCTGACAGCGGAACAGCTCAGGCATTTCACAGGGCTGCTCTGGCTCCCTTAGAACCCCCTCCTGAGATTTTTTGCTGTGGCAGCCCTGTTGAGTCCCTTGATGGGCACTCAGATCTCTTTGGGTCATGCTTGTCCAGCTTTGCTATTTAAGTACAAAGAAAGTAAGCGTTAAGAAAATCAAGAATACAGCAGAAGCAATTTCCAAATCTTTCGTCACTTCTACCTGTGGGTAAAGATGGGGTTTGTGCAGCATATGGAAGTCACTGGTGCCCAGCTTTCTGAAAGTGTTGCTTGTTGCCTCCTTCAGGGGATCACTGTGCTGTTCCTGGGATCTGTTACAGGGTAGCGCTGTGACCTGGGGGTACCCCGACCACCAGACCCCCAAGCTCCACTTCCAGCTGCCATTTCCTTTCCAGCTGTAAGCTGCCCACGAGCAGGAGGCAGCTGGCTGTTTTCCTTCCCCACAATGACTTGACCTGTCGAGGATACTTCCCAATTGCACAGTTACTCTGGGATGGTGGTTCCGAATCTGTTGTGAGCCTCCTGGAGAGATCAAGCACTTTCCGAGAGGTACAGGAGCAGCGTCAGAATGAAGAATCCTGTAACGGCGTTTTGTACTTGAAGTTCGAGGCAGGTTATTGTGGGTTAATTGAGTAAACCTTACATGGCATGCCGTTTTGCACTGTGAGCATGGCAGCTTTTACACAGGAGCTGCTGCTTCCAGCGGGATGTTGACATTCTGCTCTCGGAGTAGAGTGGGCTGCTCACCTCCAGCCACTGTCAGATGGTGGTGGAGCAGCTGCATCTTCTGCAGTGAAGGAAGTTGGCTTGAACAGCAGTCCAGGAACTGCCCAGTGGTACCCTGGCTGGGGACTTTCCCGTCGCCTTCACGCAAGGCACAAACTTTGCCCCAGACACGAGTTGGCAGCAGTGTAGTTTGAGTCTATTTCTGGGAATGTGTGCATTTTGATATTGTGATAGGTAGAATCCACTCATTCTTGATCTACCCTTTTTTCAGTCTCTGGCACGAATTCTGGCCCAGTCATTTGTGGTTCATGGCTTTTGTGATATGCCGAAGATTTCCAGGCAGTTTCTGTGGAACGGCTCCGTGGCCAGCTCTAACCAAGCACCATTTAAACAAGATATTGCCTGGTCAAAGCCATCAGGACTGTGCTCTCAGTAGTGACATCAGAATGGCAGCCACTCTCAAGTTGTTCAAACCTTTAGCATATCAAACATTTAGCAGTCCTTTCGCCTACAGTACAATCCGAAGAGCAGCATATTGGAATGTGGGATGCACCCCATGGCACCTGGGACAGGACCCTCCAGAACACGATAGCCCCCACTACCCTCACGGCCAAGTTCAGAATGTCTGTAGCACTCATTCTTCTCGGAGGAGGCTTGCTATCAGCCATGTGCTCCCGGCTCTGGAGTTGAGCAAGGCTTCTGCCTCCATGGCCAGCATGCTGCCACAGGGCTCACCCAGGACCAGGAGAACAGATGAAGAGGATGTAGAGGTTTTTGACACCCTTGAAAGCACCCGAGTTTTCCTGCAGCTGAGACCAGAGTACCGGCTTCACAGCTATTGCAGGCCTGAGACTTGTCAGCCGCTGTCTGTTTCAGAAGGTGAGCAGATTTTGCACAACGTCACGGTCAGCCAGAAGCATCTGCAACCTCCAGCCATTGCCGATTACTTCTCTAAGCTGAGCACTTTGCCTGCAGAGCAGCGCACTGTTTTGCTGTCCGATCCTGGTTTTGCTCTACTCTGCCAGCTAAGTGTGAAAGACATACGGCTCTTTGAGACTCTGGACCTGATCCGTATTTTGAAAGCTTTTGTCAGTTTAGGAATCCCTCACTCCCATCCAATGCTAGATGCATACGAAACGCGGTTTTGCCATCTGGTGTGGGAGATGAACCTGGATCAACTCCTGCTGGTGGCTGATCTGTGGCGGTACTTGGGCCACAAAGTGCCTCGGTTTTTAAAAATCTTCTTTAGTTACCTTAATTTACACTGGAAAGATCTTTCTTTGTCTCAGCTGATTCACTTAATTTATATCATAGGTGAAAGCCGTCAGGCACCCCAGGACCTAATGCAAAAACTGGAATCATTGATCCTTAAGTATATAGAGTTGATCAATTTAGAGGAGCTTGGTACGATCTGTTTAGGATTCTTTAAGTCAAGCAGCAGTCTGTCCGAATTTGCCATGCGAAAAATCGGAGATTTGGCTTGTGCCGACATGCAGCACCTAAGCAGTCATGCTCTAGTGAATATTCTTAAAATGTTGCGTTTCACTCACGTGGATCACATACACTTCATGAGGTGCTTTGGAGAGCTGGCTCCTCAGCGAATTCCCTCCTTGGGGGTCCAAGGAGTCATGCACCTGACTCTTGCCTGCTCCGCCTTACGGTTCTTCGATGAAAGAGTCATGAATGCCGTGGCTGCTTCTTTGCCTCCCAGGGTAGCACACTGTCGAAGTAAAGATGTTGCCAAAATTCTGTGGTCATTTGGAACTCTGAATTATAAACCACCCAATACAGAAGAGTTTTATTCCAGCCTCATAAATGAGATTCACAGAAAAATGTCTGAATTCAAGCAATACCCAGAACACCTGCTCACCTGCCTGCTGGGCCTGGCATTTTCGGAGTACTTTCCCGAGGAGTTCATCAGTTTTGCTCTGAGTCCAGGGTTTGTGAGGTTAGCTCAGGAGAGGAGTAAGTATGAACTTTCTAAGGAACTGTACACTCTTGATGGTACAGTTGGTATTGAGTGCCCAGATTACAGAGGCAGCCGGCTAAGTTCCCACCTTCAGCAAGAGGTAGCTGAAAAGCTTTGGAATTTAGCCAGAAAGGATATGACCTCAAAGCCCGAATTCCTAGAAGCCCTGTTTTCATTGGAAACCATGTTGGGTGGGCCTCAGTATGTCAAGCACCATATGATTTTGCCTCATACTCGATCTTCTGACCTAGAAGTCCAGCTGGATTTTAACCTGAAGCCATTGCCGTTTAACAAGGAAGCCATCCCAGCCGAAGACGGCCCCAGAGTTAGGCTTAAGCATGTAGGAGTCACTCTTACAGATGATTTGATGAGCCAGTTACTAAGAGGGAAAGCCAGAGGGCGTTTCCAGGGGGCACTTGAGTCAGAGCAGGCAGCCAGACCCTTGCAGGACACCCTTTGCAACGTGGATGATAAGTCAGGGGCCAAGGAGACGGCCAGCTTTTGCCCCCCAGACCCTGCGCAAGCCCCGCTAGTGAAGCTGGCCATCCAGCTGACAAACAAGAACCAATATTGCTATGGTACCAGGAATCTGCTCGGACTGCACAACATGAAGAGGCGGCAGCTGATTCGGCTTGGGTACCGGGTGGTGGAGTTATCCCACTGGGAATGGCTCCCGCTCCTGAAACGAACTCGCTTGGAAAAGCTGGCCTACCTCCATGAGAAAGTGTTCACCTCTGCTCTCTGAAGGGCCCACGGGGGGAGTTTGACTTACAGAAGCCGCAGGCACGCACAGCATCCCGCACACAGCCACAGGTGCAGCATCCCTCCAAAATCCAGAACCCTTGGCAACAGCAAACTTGTTGAGCCCTGATGTGAAGCTCACTAGTGTTTGGAACTTTGGAGCAGTTTGGACCTTGGTTTTCCAGATTAGGGATACTCACCTGGAAAGTCTCCAAACGTTTAAGATCAGTCTAGAATCAGAAGCATTTCTGGTCTTGAGCATTTCAGATAAGTGATATTCAACCATGTTGCAAAATATTTACAAAGACCAGGTATAAATTTGATAATTATCCACTTTGAGGAGACCTAGCTGTGCTTTTGTCTCCAATGAATTGGTGCTAATATATGCACTGTGAATTATAACCTGGTTGATTATACAAGTTGCTTCCAATTTGTGCTTAAAACTCTTAATAAACAGCTTAAGTGCTGTTGCATGTTTCTCTGTTTACTGGTATGTCTTATGTCACAAATTATTATTATTATTATTAGTTTTTAGAATAAAAGTTAAGTCAGATATTGTCTAAACTCATCTTTTTTCTTTAAAATAAGAACCTCTTGAAACTTACATCTCAGGGTTTCTTCCCTGAGGGTATCTTTATATCCACTAAAACTGAGTGTTTATTGATGTTAGGAGTGGCTGGTTGTCTTAGTGGGCCACTCTTCCTACTTGAAGGAAGCATTTCAGAATTGGTAAGCTTGGGGCAGGTCTTGTGGCACAAGCTTACCAATTCTGAAAAAGCTTAAAACGGCTGCTGGAGATCATATCCCATTTCAGAGTACCTTGTTCATGTTGGACCTGCTCCGTGCTTCTGTTCCAGTCTCCCACCACTGCAGCTGGCCGGCAGCAGGTGCAGTCTCTCAAGCACCTGTGTTCTTGCCACACACATAGGGGTCTGAATGGGATTCCTGGCTACTAAGTTTTGGTCTGCCTGACCTAACCCTGACTGTTACAAGCATTTGGTAGATAGAAGATACCTCTGTCTTTCACTCCCTGTCACTCTGCTTTTCAAATCTTTATTTTAAAGAGAAAAAGAGATGAACCTAGGGTGATGGCTCAGTAGCTAAATCCTCACCTTACAAGCACCAAGATCCCATATGGGTGCCAGTTTAGTCCCGGATGCTCCATTTCCCATCCAGCTCCTTGCTTGTGGCCTGGGAAAGCAGTCGAGGGTAGCCCAAAGCCTTGGGATCCTGCACCTACATGGGAGACCTGGAAGAAGCTCCTGGCTTCTGGTTTTGTAGATACAAATGGCCATTGAGTCATTTGGGGAGTGAATCAGCCAATGGAAGATCTTTCTGTCTCTTCTTTCAGTGTATCTGATATGTGATCTAACTTTCCAATAAAAATGAATAACTCTTTTATCTTGACTTCTGTCCCACATTTCTACTCTTCTTGCATAAATTGTCACTCAATCCTCCCTGCACACCACATTTCCGGTCTGGTCTTCCTGCTGAGCTTGCACTGGCAAGAAACTGAGGCACACTCAGACAACAGCTTTGGTTTTAACTAGCTCTAAGTCCGACTTTGTTCGTGGATGGACAGGTAACTCAGTTGTGGGCTTCTTTAAAAGCCAGAGTGCCCCATTTGTAAAATTACTCAGCGCGTTGGTGTTCTGCTCACCCTGACACTAAATGCTTGTGTTTGACAGGTAATCTTTTACCTTGTCCCCTCTGTAGGCTGTTTGAGTCTAGGTAATCTTTGGAATATGTGTATTTGCCAGAATTAGTTCCATCATTTTTTTTTTTTTGAGATTCAAAATCAGATTGCATGTAATTCAGTTATGGCAACTTCTTTTGTGGGTGAGAGGAAGATAGACACTTCAGTGTCATGGTCACCTTATTCTCTGTCCCTTCTCACTTTCCTACTCCCAGATTCTGAGCCTCAGGAGCAACAACAGGTCGACTTGGTTGCTTCAAGTTCCAGGGAAACACTAACAGCAGTATTCAGACAGGATGGCAAGCTTGCCCCAGTTTGCCTGGGACATTCCTGATCCTATCCTTGAAAATCCCATGTTCAGGGAAACCCCTTAGTCCTGGGTAGACCAAGGTTGGTGCCATCCTTCTGATTCCCACCTTGACCCATTGCGCTTGGCCTTCCTGAACTCTTAGTACATGAAGGCCGAGAAGAAAGGCTTGTCTCTGTCCGGACCTCCGGTCCCATGGGAGCTGTTGGCTACAGGAGGTGCTCCAAGTATGCCTCTGGCTCCCCAGTCAGTCCTCTGATAGCCCAAGACCAGTCCAAGTGTCAGTATGAAACATGCAAACAAGAACAGAAAAACAAAGTCCCACCAGTCTAGTACATTGCCTGCTTCAGTTTCTTCATGTCTGCCATTCCTCCCAAGCTGTATGCATGTTCCTGGTGCAGATGGTCAACACATGTGTATCATCATGAGTCCACAAGTTTTTGTGCTTATATATATATATTTTTTTACATTTGTCTGCAATCATTTGAGGAGACATAAACATTAAGAAAAAGCATCAGTCAAGTTTATTTCAATAATGTGGGCAGTGGCTTACCTGGAGTGTTTTTGTTTTGTTTTATGATGTATTCTATGGCAGAATGACACAGAGGGAAAGATCGTTCATCAGCTGGTTCACTTCCCAATTGCCTGAAGTGTCCAGGGCTAAATTGGGCCAGGAGCTTGGAATTCCATCTAGTTATCCTACATGGGTGGCAGTAGCTCAAGTACTTGGACCATTTTCTGCTCCCCTCCCAGGTGTGTTAGAAGGGAATTGGATCTAAAAGCACAGTAGCCAAAACTTGAACTGAAAATTTGGTATGAGGTACCATGTAGCAGGTGGTATTTTAACTTGCTGTACCATAACACTGGCCCCAATTCATCTTTTGAAAATGTTTTATTTATTTGAAAGGCAGAGACAGATCTCCCATCCACTGGTTTGCTTCCCAAATGCCCACGCACAGCAGCTGGATGAGACAGCTCTAGGCCCAAAGCCAGGAACTGGGAACTCAGTCTGGGTTCTCCGGTGTGGTTAGCAGGGTCAAACTTTCTGAGCTATCACCTGCAGTCTCTTCAAAGATGCATTAGCAGGAAGCTGGAATTGGGACCAACCGCAGGACTTTTGACCACTGAAACAAGTGCTCACCCCTTCACTGGAGTCTTCACAGCGCTTGAATCTGGGTGAAAATTTTCAAGAGTTCTGTGATTAGAGATGATTTGTATTTATGAAGTCAAAGACTTCTTTTAGGGCGAATGGTTAGCTTAGTGGTAAAGGCACTGGCTGAGATTGCCGCTTCCCATCTTGGAGTGCCTGTGGGTTTGATACCCAGCTCTGGCTCCTGACTATCTTTCTGCTGGTGCAAACCCCAGGAAGCAGCAGGGAAGGCCTAAATGGTTGTGCTCCTGGGAGACCTGGATTGAGCTCCTGGCTTTAGTCAGGTCCCAGCTCAGCCCCTTCCAGGCATTTGGGGAAGAACCAGAGGCTGAAGGTGCTCTTGTCTCCATTCTCTCAGTTAAAAAACATGAGTGTCCTAAGGGTGACACAAGGAGTCCCTTGGTGATGGGCTAATCATGTATCTTGCTGTCTTGACCACAAGGATCTTTTTTTTTTTTTTAAGATTTATTTATTTATTGGAAAGTCAGATATACAGAGAGGAAGAAAGACAGAGAGGAAGATCTTATGTCCGATGATTCACTCCCCAAGTGAGTACAACGGCTGATGCTATGCCGATCCGAAATCAGGATCCAGGAACTTCTTCCAGGTCTCCCACATGGGTGCAGGGTCCCAGGGCTTTGGGCCGTCCTCGACTACTTTCCCAGGCCACGAGCAGGGAGCGGGATGGGAAGTGGAGCTGCTGGGGTTAGAACCGGCGCCCATATGGGATCCCGGCACGTTCAAGGTGAGGACTTTAGCTGCTAGGCCACGCCGCTGGGCCCAACCACAAGGATCTTATATTTGCAATACATAGACTTAAATAGCTAGGTACTGGCCCAGCACAGTAGCCTAGTGGTTAAAGTCTTGGCCTTGCTAGCGCCCGGATCCCATATGGGCACCTGTTCATGTCATAGCAGCCCCACTTTCCACCCAGCTCCCTACTTGTGGCCTCGGGAAAACAGTGGATGATGGCCTAAAACCTTGGGACTCTGCACCCACTTGGGAGATTGGGAGGAGACTCCTGGCTCCTGGCTTACAATCGGCTCAGCCTCAAGTGGCTGTTTGGCTGCTTGGGGAGTAAATTATTGGACAAAAGATCATCTTCTCTATCTCTACTCCAATCTCTATGTCTGACTTTCTGATAAAAATAAGTAAATCTAAAATAAATAATTAAGTAGCTAGGCACAGGTGAATATACAATTAGTGAAATCTGAGTAAGGTCACAGGGTTGTTACTGTCTTCCTGGTGATGGCACTGCAGCCATGCAGGATGTTACACTTAGAACTGAGCAGAAGATACATGGGGTCCATTTTAGTTTTAAAGATTTATTATGTTTATTTGAAAGGCTGAGTGACAGGCAGGGACAGAAAGATCTTCCATGCACCGGTTCATCTACCTGGGGCACACGCATTTCAGCTATCTTTTGCTGCTTTCCCAGACACATTATCAAGAAGTTGGGGCTGCTGGCACAATGGCATAGCAACATAATACTCCGTCTGTGGTTCTTGCGTCCCATATGGGTGCCGGTTCATGTCCCAGCTGTTCCACTTCCCATGCAGCTCCCTGCTTATGACGTGGGAGAGCGGTACAGGATGGCTCGAGTTCTTGGACTTCTACACCCACCTGGGAGAGCCCAAAGAAGCTGCTGGCTGCTGGCTTCAGATAAGCTCAGCTCTGGTCCTTTTGGCCATTTGAGGACTGACCTAGCAGATGGAAGATTCTCTCTGTATATAAAATCTGTCTTTTAAATAAAATCAATCTTTAAAAAAGAGGGGGGTGGTTGGAAATGGAGCAGCTGGGACCCCGAGTGGTGCTCTAATATGAGATGCCTTTGTCACAGTAGCAGCTTAACCAACTGCACCATACTGCTGGCCTCGTGATTTCTTACATCTGCACTGAAGCCATAATTATCATCTTAAAAAAAAAAAGATTTATTTCATAATTAAAAGTTTAGATATTTTAAGAATAACAATGTCTCAGAAAGTAGCTTTTAAATTCTTGTAAGGTACACAGTCATATAATTCATTTTGAATGCCCATTGTTCAGATAGAAGGGAGAAAATGTCAAGGAAAAAAGCTGAGACTACTCATTCATTTCTAAGTCTGACCTTGATCCTAATCACTGATGTCTTCACGAAGCCATTTGCGAAGTAGCCCTGGTGGGGGAACACATCAGCCAGACTGGAGGAAACTCTCGGGAAGTGTAGATTGCCATTAAGTGGTTCAGAATTGCTATTGTGGTTAGCAGGTTAATGGGAGGTTAATGGTAGCCTTTTTGTTAGTGTCATTTCCCTTCCTGGTTGTCAGATTTCTGTGACTTTCCTCTGAGTAGTGGCTTTCAGGCTTTTTAAAAATGTTCTTTTTTTTTTTTGTAATATTTATTTTTATTACAAAGTCAGATATACATACAGGAGGAGAGAGAGAGAGAGAGAGAGAGAGAGAGGAAGATCTTCTGTCTGATGATTCATTTTCCCAAGGTGCCGCAACAGCCAGAGTTGCACCAATCCGAAGTCAAGAGCCAGGAGCCTCAAGCCTCTTCTGGGTCTCCCAAGTAGGTGCAGGATCCCAAGATTTTGGGTCATCCTCCACTGCTTTCCCAGGCCACAGGCAGGGAGCCTGATGGGAAATGGAGCCGCCGGGATTAGAACCAGGGCCCATATGGAATGTCAGCACATGCAAGGCGAGGACTTTAGCCATTAGGCTACTGTGCCAGGCCTATCTATTTATTTCCTAAAACATGGTAATGACTCCAAAGTTAACTTCTCTGTTTTTGACTTACAGTTTGGAGAATCACTACCTTAGCCCATCAGGGGAAGCAGGGTCAGCCCCTGGGTATGGCATTCAAGGCCTTCCCAGCCTGGACCCTACCTGGCCTGTAGCTAAGTGATACATTCAGCGTTTCCTAACCTGCCTCACACTGTCCCTTGTCTAAGCCTTGACTCGTAAATGGCCCCCCTTCTCGGAGTCCTTCCTCTGTTCCTGCTCTCATACACACAGGCATGCTCACACATCTAGTCCGCTGTGCCATTAGTGTATAAGTCACTGTCCCTGTTTCTTCAGCGTTGTCCTCAGTTCACAATGTTATTTGCTTGAAATTTTCCTTGGGTCTGCATACTTTTTTAATTATTATTATTATTAGTGTGAAATTGGAAGAGTTACAAAGAGGGAGAGAGACAGAGATTTTTCCATATACTGTTTCACTTCCCAGATAGCTCCAATAGCTGGGGCTGGGTGAGCCCGAAGCCAAGGACCCAAGTCCTTGAGCCATATTCTGCTGCTGCATTCCCAGGCCATTAGCAGGGAGCTGAATTGGAAATGAAGCAGCTGTGACACAAACCAGAATCCATATAGTGTGCAGGCCCTACAGGAGGTAGCTTTACCTGCTGCACCATAGCACCAGCCCTGTGGATATCCTTTGGCAGCTGCCTCGGCAGCGCTGCTGGCTTGCTTCACTGTGTTGCAGGCATGTTGCGGGTGTGCCTGCTTGGCCAGAGTTGTGTTTTTGCTGCTAGGTGGTTCTTGTCTCACTGAAATGGTGAGCCCCATTTTCGCTGAAACATAATGCAAGTAAAATCTGTTAAATTATCATACTGATTAGAGAAATGAGCCACAGGCAACTAAGCTTTTTTTTTTTTTTAATTTAATCTAATTTAATTAAAAGAAAAAAAAATTTTTTGAGAGTGCAAGCTAGCTTCTACCTGCTGGTTCTCTAATCAGATACCTGTAACAGTGGAGGCTAGCTCCAGGAGCCGGCAGTCCAGTCCAGGTCTACCTGGTTATCCGAGTACTTGAGCTGTCACTTCTGCCTCCTAGTGTCTGCAGCCGCTGCACTGGCAGGAAGCTTGAGTCAGGTGCTGGAACCAAGAATCACATCCAGGCACCACAGGCTGGGACACAGGCATCTTCACTAAGCTCAACTTCCAAGAGAGTCAAGTTGTCAGAGTCCTCTGGTCAGCCTTGTGCTTCTCATCCTTACAATTTTTCAGATTCAGCCTTAGGAGCAGGCATCCCGAGGGTGCTGAGCTGTGGGTTAAGGGCAAAGGGCAGCTGACCTGGGCAACTGTGTCTCGCATCACAGTTTACTACTGGGGTTCATACATACCCTTTGTGAGGACATTTTCCCTTTGCTTCTTACAGGAAGGTGGTTTGTCATGGCTCTAGGAAGTCACCTGCCCAACTTGCTCCTGGTTCTGGCATTTAAGTCCTCAGAAAAGCTAATATTCGGCTGTGTAGCAAAAATCAGAGGGTGCCCCTATCCTGTTGGACAACAGCTTTCATAGCCAAGTCTGCTAGATGGGAAAACCAAACAGCGGGCTAGCCTCACCCAAGGAGTTTGGATCCACTAGCAGGGCCGCCTGCCACTGCAGACAGTTCTGGTGGCTTCCAAGTGTCTCTAAAGAGAGTCCCCAAAGCTAGTGGACATTGGCCATGAGAAGAAGAATTAGGGGTCCTCCCAAGTGCTTTCCAACTTTTGATCCTTTTGATTGCTTTTTTTGTTTTGTTTTGTTTTAACAAGAAAATGTAGTTCCCTTGTCAAGTGTTAGATGTCCAGCACGTTGGTCCTTTTTTTTTATCTTTCTGTTTTAAACTTTCTGTTCTCTGAGCTCAGCCACTTTTGCTTCTCCCTTTCCCTTGTGGAGGCCCTGCCGCCATTGAGTCTTTGGACCTACTGTCAGCCAGACAACTGCACTTTGTGCCTACCCACCCACCTACCAAGCCAAGCCTGCAATTCCTGTGACATTTTTGTGTGAATGAATGTAGGCCGACAGTATATGGGGCTTAAAGTTTCTGTTGACATCCTTTAAAAAAAAGATTTATTTATTTTATTGGAAAGGCAGATGTACAGAGAGGAGGAGAGACAGAGAGGAAGATCTTCCTTCCAATGATTCACTCCCCAAGTGGCCACAATGGCTGGTGCTGCGCTGATCCAAAGCCAGGAACCAAGAACTTCTTTCCGGGTCTGCCACGTGGATGCAGGGACCCAAGGCTTTGGGCCATCCTTGACTGCTTTCCCAGGCCACGAGCAGGGAACTAGAAGGGAAGTGGAGCAGCCTGGGCATGAACCGGCTCCCACATGGGATCCTGGCATGTGCAAGGCAAGGATTTAGCCACTAGGCCATTGCGCCTGGCCATTGTAGTCTCTTTTCTTGATTATCAAAAAAGTTTGGAATTGAACTTTGACTAATACCAAGTTTTCTTTTGTATTGAAGGCTGTTTTTGATGCTTGGAAGCTGTCTTCAACTTTAAGGATGGTAATGAATCTTTGCCTTCCACAGTTCAGACCCAGAATTCACTGCAACAAGGTAAACAAAACAAATACATACACGTAAACATATGATCTGATCATGCTTTCCCCAAGTTCCTGCTGTGGATATGTGGACTTGATTCAGGCCTCCTGGACTTTGACCCTCACTGTTTGCAATTCCTCCAGCAGGTACCTGGGCAAGCCTGGGCCAGGCTCCCAGCTAGTCAGAGTCCCAGTGTAAGGTGAGCTGTGGCTGGTCTGGTGCCAAGCCAGCTTTCCCCTTTGATGAAGGATTTCAGTCCTACCAGAGCAGAGAGAGATACTACTTCCCACACACACCACTTCTTGCTAGAGTTAATTCTTGTACTTGTTCTTTGGATTCCTTGTTGCTTGTTCTTTGAATTAAACTCCTTTCCTGGGCCTCCAGCACAGAGCCTGGGTTTGAGGATTCAGAGAGAAAAACTGAATTCCCCCTTCCATGTGGAGCCTTGCACACAGTGTGCTGTTCCAGGTTTCCAGATGGCTGGGCCCACTCCATCAGACAAGGAGCTCTTAAAATTGCCCTGGGTTTTAACAAGTACTGACAATACTAAAAGAGAAAGTTTCTTATAACCCACACCGTCTGTACTTTGACTGTCTTCAATTCTCTATACTCTCTTTTTAAAGACAAGTTTCTTTTCCTAGGTTTACAAGAAGCTTGCTATAATGCATTTTTTTTTTTTTGAGAAAATGTTACAATGGGTAGAGTCCAGTTATGAAACTGAGAAGCTAAATAAATGTTGTTTTTCCTTTACTCTGTTTTTTATATGTAAGTTTTAAAAAGATTTATTTTATTTTTATTGGAAAGTCAGGTATACAGAAAGGATGAGAGACAGAGAGGAAGTTCTACCATCCGTTGCTTCACTCCCCGAGTGGCTGCAACAGCCAGAACTGTGCCAGTCCAAAGCCAGGAGCCCAGAGTCTATCCCATGTCTCCCACACGGGTGCAGGGTCCCAAAGCTTCAGGCCATCCTTGACTGCCTTCCCAGGCCACAAGCAGGGAGCTGGATGGGAAGTGGAGCTGCCAGGATTAAAACCAGCGCCCATATGGCATCCAGGAGCATTCAAAGTGAGGACTTTAGCCGCTAGATTACTGCACTGGGCCCCTTTACTCTATTTTTTTCTCTGTCCTCTTAAAATAAAAGAGTCCACTAGTATATATGCCCCCATTTCAGAGAGATGCTATTTGAAGGAATTTTGGGTTATGTTGGGCAGGATTTGGTTCCTTGTGTGTTTCAGGTTGGGCAGCCCTTCAAGATGTGATTATTCTCCATCCTCTGCAACCCGCATGGGAGACACTCATAGAAGATGCGCATGGGAGACCCACACTGACTCCCTGGCTTCAGGCTTCACCCTGCCCCAGCTCTGGCATTTGGAGAGTGAGCCAGGCAGTGGAAGATCTTTCTCTTTGTCACTCTGTGCTTGACCTAATTTGGGATTTGGGGCGCTTGTACCCCTCCCAAAATAAATGTCTTGGGTGGTTCTAATAGAGAATATATGTATTTTTGAAGACTTATTTATTTTTATTGCAAAGTCAGATATACAGAAAGGAACAGAGATAAAAATATCTTCCATCCGATGATTCACTCCCTAAGTGACCACAACAGCTGGTGCTCTGCCGATACGAAGCCAGGAGCCAGGAACTTCCTCCAGGTCTCCCACGTGGGTGCAGGGTCCCAAGGCTTTGGGCCATCCTCCACGGCTTTCCCAGGCCACGAGCAAAGAGCTGGATAGGAAGCAGTGCTGCAGGGATTAGAACCAGTGCCCATATGGGATTCCAGAGCATTCAAGGCAAGGACTTGAGCTGTTAGGCCATGGCGCCGAACCCGAGAATATTTTAAAATGAAAAACTTGCAACTTCATTTAAAGTTGTTTTAGAAGTGGCAGACTCTTAAGTGCTGATTATCTTCATGTGTCTCCATATGTCTCATGTTTCATTCAATGTAGATATCAGCTGATGGTTATGAAGTAGAAAATCTCATCTCTGAAGACCCCACAAAGAGAAGTCATGGCTTTAGGACAGAGTATTTCATTAAGCCACCCGTCTACGTGATCGTGTCCTTTCCCTTTAATGTGGAAATCTGCAGGATTAACATAGACCTCACAGCCGGAGGAGGTCAGAGTGCCACCGGCTTGGAAGTTTACACGTGTGCCTCGGCCAGCAGAGCATCTTGGAGCACACCTCGGGGCGAGGCCCTGGACCTGGCAGATCCACTTGTCCCAGACAGGGAGGCCTTCACTTTGGTGGGCAAAGTCTTGCTGAAGAACCAGAACCAAATAGTGTTCAGCCACAGGGGCTTCAAGGCCAGACCCCCTTTCAGCCCAGTGCAGGTCACTCTCCCCTCACCTGCTGTTGTGGCCCAGGAGCTTTGGAATAAGGGGGCTCTGTCCCTGAGCCAGGTGGCCCACCTCAAAGTCTGCATCACTCACATGACAGGTGGCGGCGTCCCTTGCATCAAACGGTTGGAAGTGTGGGGTCAGCCGGCCAAGACCTGTTCCCAGGAGCTGATAGACAGCATCCTGCTGGCAGCTTCTGAGAGCCTGCCCCAGGACGTGGCTCCTCATGCCTCAGCATTGCCCATGGAGAGTGACTGTGAGCCCGCAGGCCAGACTCAGGACCAGCAGGCTCCCTCCAGCCTACAGGAGTTGGCAGAAGTGATCCAGGACGTGCCCGAGGAGTTCCTGGATCCCATCACCCTGGAGATCATGCCCTGCCCCATGCTGCTGCCATCGGGCAAGGTCATCGACCAGAGCACACTGGAGAAGTGCAACCGCAGTGAAGCTGTGTGGGGCCGGGTGCCCAGTGACCCTTTCACTGGGGTAGCCTTCACGCCCCACTCCCAGCCCCTGCCTCACCCTGCCCTGAAGGCCCGGATTGACCACTTCCTGCTGCAGCACTCCATCCCTGGCTGCCACCTGCTGGGCAGGGCACAGACTGCATCAGCCGTGACCCCTTCTTCCATTGCTCTGCCCTCTCGCAAGAGGAAGATGGAACCGACTGAACAGGCACCAGGCTGCAACCTTGGTGTGAATGCCTCCTGTTTTTCTACCATGAACCCTCCAGTCTTAGCCACTACCTCAGAGCACACCTCTAAGAAAATGAAAGCCCGCAGTGAGCTCAGCTTCCCACTCATGGACTGTTCAACAGGTAACCTACCACCCTGTGTCCGTGGCCCCTTGCCATCTTGCTCTTTCCAGTGATGCCACCTGGTGTCACTGCCCTCTGCCTTAGGCTTGCTGGATGAAGTTCCTGACTGGTGCCCAGGAATCCACTTGATGGCCCAAGTACCCTCATTCCTCCGCATGCAGCTCCATCGCTCTATCATCAGCCTGGAAATGTTCCAGGGCGCTGCCAGATTAGCATGTTTCCTCCCAACCCACCTGGTACAGGCTTCTGGCTGCGTGCTTGCTCTTCTGCCCAGTGATACACTCACTGGCCGCTCTGCTTTCCTGGGACTCCCTTCCTGTGTTTTGGCCAGGGCAACAGTTCTTATTTGAAGCCTCTGATTGCAGCTGCTAGAAGAGAAGCCCTGTTGAGAAGCTGTTCTCATGTCAGCGTGGTTGAATCCCAACCACTCAGCACTTCAGGTCCAGCTTCCTGCTGATGTACCTGGGAGGTGACAGATGATGGCCCAAGTACTTGATCCTGCCACTTGCGTGGCAGACCCACACTGACTCCCTGGCTTATGGCTTCACCCTTCCCCAGCCCTGGCTACTGCAGATATTTAGAAAGTGAACCAGCAGATGGAAGATCTTTCTGCTTATCACTTTGCCTTTCAAATAAATAAATCTTTAAAAAATTTTCAGAAAATAGAGAAAAATCAGTAAACTTTCATCATTATAAAATTGAAACGGAGGTTCACTAATTATATTTTTGGAAAATGAGGTAAGAATTCAAAGTTAGTTTCAATAGAAAAATCTATCACGAAATCTGAGGCTAGCGTAGATTTCTTATTATAATCAATATAATCATGTAGGTTAAAAGTTGTACAAATATGTGCACGTTTGTGATTATCTTACTCTTTTTTTTTTTCCCCCACAAATCTTACTTGTTTATTGAAGAGACAGATGGAGAGCCCTCATCTGCTGCTTCACTCACCAAATAGCTACCATGGTCAGAGCTGGGCCAGACCCTGAGGAGGAAGAATCCAGGACTCCCACATGGGTAGAAGAGACACCCCGCCCTCCCCCCAATCACTGAACCATTGCAGTTGCCTCTCCTGCATGTTAGCAGAAACCTGGAGTCAAGTCAGACTCAGGTATGAAGCCCAGTTACTCTGACATAGGGCGCCAATGGGAGCCAGGCACACACATAGCTCCCATGTGCTGGTTCACACTCCTCACATGCCAGCAGCAGCCAGGGCCAGGCCAGGCCAAAGCAGAAGCCAAGAACTCAGCCCTGCTCTGCCCCGTGGTTAACAGGGACTCAGCTGCTTGAACCATCACGGGCCTTTGCTTCCGGGCTTTGCATTAGCTGGAATGCTGGAGTTGGGTGCAGAGTCAGTGCTTGACCTAGGCACTCAGATATGGATTGTAGATATCCAAAGTGATATCTTTTTTTGAGATTTATTTTATTTACTTGAATGACAAAAATAGACACACAGAGAAAGAAATCTTCCATCCACTGATTCTCTAAATGACCGCGGTGACTGGGGCTGAATCACACTGAAGCCAGGAACCAGAAACTCCATCTCTGCCTCCTGTTTAAGTGGCAAGGGCCAAACACTTGGGCCATCCTTCACTGTTTTGCCAGGTACATTAGCAGGTAACTGGATCAGAAATGGAGCAGCAGGCTGGAACTGGTGCTCGTCTGATATGCTAGTGTTGCAGCCAGCCACTTAGGTTGCTACAGCACAATACCGGCCCCGAAATGTAAATCTTCACCTTTATACCAAACATGTGACCCCGGATGCAGCATCTTAACTCCTGGACCAGATGCCCAGCCCTGTGTATTAGTGTCTAACTAGGGTTTTTGCATTCATTAATGAGCACAGACTGGTTACGTATGTTTATTTGTGCCATCTTTGTTAAAGTTTTAGTACCAGTGATTTTGCTCCTTAAAAATAGGCCAATGCCTATTTGTACAGGTTCAGACACCTGTACAATAGCAGCATCCCATATAGGTACAGATTTAAGTCCTGACTGTTCTGCTTCCCGTCTAGACCCCTGCTAATGCACTTGGGAAGGCAGCAGAGGATGGCTGAAGTGCTTGAGCCATCATACTTCAGACCCAAAAGCAGCTCAGGCCTCCTGCCTTTGGCTGGGGCATAGCTCTAGCTGTTGTAGCCATTTGGGGAGTGAACCAGTGGGTGCAAGATCTCTCTCTCTCTCTCTCTCTCTCTCCCCCTCTCCACCCCCCTCCTATCCTCCTCCCTTTTACCTTTCAAATAAGTACAATTTTTTGGATACATTAGAAGTTTTCCTAAATTTTTAGAAAAATTTCTTTTATTTCAGTAGTGTGGAACAATTTCATAGTGTTACCATCATCTCATGTGTATTCTTCCACTAGAATCCCCTGGTGATGACAAGTGTGTGGCACTTCTGGAGGAGAGCCCTTCAACAAGTTTTTCTTTTCCTTCTCTAACAGGCTATGCAAATAGTGCGCTAAATGGTTATGTCTGTGTCTCTGGTCTTAGGAGTAAATTTCCGTTAATGCGACCCCCAGACTCCCAAATCATCTGAGGTGCAGTGGGGTGAGCAAGGACAACATCTGTAGACCACAATGTCTGCTTGCAAAGGTCTCAGTGGAACTGGCCTTGACACAGTTGGTGACATGGGACCATCCTGACCAGTGCTTCTTCCAGTCCCTAAGCCAGCACCTTGTGTCCCACCAGCTGTAGACAGAATGGCCCACTCCCCTCTCTGGAAGAGTCTGGCAAGTCCTGCGACCAGGAAGATGACCAGGCCTTTCCTAGGCAGCTGTCCCCTTCCTCTGTAACCCCATCCTGATTCCATAGCGTGGCTTTCTGTTGACCACATTCAAGGAGTTCCCCAGGTCGTGCAGTCTCAGTGAGGTCTTAGTTACTCTGCTTGCTAACAGCTGCTCTGGTTTCTTAGCAGAGAGGACAGGATTTGAGTATGCAAGCAGGCAGCCCAGCAGAACAGGGTCCCAGAAGGGAGGAGGTGGGGAAAGAGACTGAGAGGCTGCTGGTGGAGGAAGTCAGGCTAGGGGCCCCAGAGCAGCACCACTGCAGGCATTTACTTACCCATCCTTTCCTTGGCTAGCAGGGATGCAATTAGAAAGACAGGTGAAGGGCCTGGCACAATAGGCTAGGGACTAAAGTCCTTGCCTGGCATGTGCCAGAATCCCATATGTGGGCACTAGTTCATGTCCGAATGCTCCACTTCCCATCCAGCTCCCTGCTTGTGGCCTGGGAAAACAGTCGAGGATGGCCCAAAACCTTGGGACCCTGCACTCATGTGGGAGACCTGGAAGAGGCTCCTGGCTCCTCGCTTCGGATCAGTTCAGTTCCAGCCGTTCCAGCCACTTGGGGAGGAAACAAGTGGATGGAAGATTCTCTCTGTCTCCTTCTCTCTGTAAATCTGCCATTCCAATAAAAATAAATAAATCTTAAGAAAAAAAAAAGGGTGCAGTACAGCAGTGGGGCCATGAGGGGGCCCACACCCACCCTGCTGTGTACCCAAGGGAAGGACAGCTGGAGCAAAGCTTGGGACCTGCGGGGCTGGCTGGGTCCCTGGCTGACTCCACTGTCCATTCTGTCATCACGGTCCAGCTAAAGACCACAGCAGGAGGTCTCCATGTTGATGTGTACTTGTAGCCAGAAGCACCATCTTCATTCTTTGGTGGGAACTCTCTGGATAGTGTGGTCTGCATCTCTCAACAGATCCAGTGTCCCATGAGCAGAAGCTGTCACAAAGCTTGGAAATCGCCTTGTCATCCACACTTGGCACCATGCCCTCCTTCACAGCCCGACTGACCAGGGGACAGCTCCAGCAGCTGGGCACCAGAGGGACCAGCCCTTCGGGGAGGCTGGGCAACAGCTCAGGTACCAAGGGCCTCAGGCTAGGAGGAGGCCTGTTTGCTGGGATTATCTTGGGGGGGGGGGGGGGGGCGAGGGCTTGATTGTTGGCAAGAGATGCTTCCCTTTGGCAACCCTTGGTTCTGTGGACTTGAGGCCTGGCCACACTGTACTGGGACTTTTGATAAGGTGTACTCATTTCTCTCCTCTGAGGATTGTAGTTTTTCCTGTTCTGTTTGTTTTCCCAATGTCATCTCTCTGCCAGCTGGCAGCTGAGCTATTCCGTGTGCCCACAAAGGGAGGGTGGACTGGAATGTGCCTCTCCTCTCCTCCTGAAAGAGGAGTGGCAGCTGCCTTGGCCCATGTGGTTAGATGACCCTGGGTCTCACTGTCTGGCATAGCAGCCAGGCTGAGGTGGGAGGGCATGACTGGCATGTCGGGGCCTCTGGGATGTAACCTGGTGTGGCTGATGGTAAGTCGAGCGCTTGGCTCACCCAGGCATGGCCCGTGTCTCCTGCCCTTGCCTGGGTCCCAAGCCATCTTCCTGTCCTCTTCTCTTTCCTGTCTCTCTGTCTCCCCTTCCTGCACGTTCTTATTCGTCCCCACTCTGCTGTTCTCAAGGACCTGCCTTGTAAAGTGACCAGTGATTTCCCTGGCCCCCCACGTGCTGGTCACCACCTCAGTGGTCCGTGCCCCACCTGCATGTCACTGCCCTCAGGGGTGTGTTCCCCCCACACGCTGGTCAGCACCATTGCAATGGCATGTGCTGGAGCAGCCTGCCCAAGTCACCCTCTCTCTGGCATTCTGAGGGTAGCACTCCTTCTCTCATGCCCTCAGTTCCCATTGCCAGCTTCCTTCTCTCACCCTGGGACCTGGATCCTCTGCTGTTGTCACTCAAGAGAGAGCCCTCACCCAGGAATGCTGTGTCCCCCACAGCTCTTGCCTCCCTGACAGGCTGCTCAGTGTCTCCTCGTTCTGAGCTGCTCGTGCCAGCCTCCGAGCTCTCCCTGGATCCAGTCCGTCGTCCTGACCCCTCCCTGTTGCCCCAGCAGGACAAACAGCACCTTATCCCAGCCTGCAGGCCCCTAACTTGGGAGTCATCTGTGGCTTCTGTCCACATCAGGTCCTCCACACACTCCCTCAGAATAGATGTTGCGTCAGTCTTGCCGTCTGATCCTCTCAGTTCCTACATTCCCACCCTGCCTTTTTGCTGGATGCCGCAGAAGCATCCAAGACAGCCGACCACCCTTGCAGGAGTCAGAGGGCGCCCCCCGTGAGCTCTCTCCCACCCTGTGCCATTTGCTGCTTTTCCCTTTTCCAGTTGCATCTCACAATTTCAGTTGTTTGGGAGCTTGTCCTTTGTCATGGTCCTGGCAACCTGACTCGGGAAAGTGGCTTTGCTGGGAGGATAGGAAGGGGCAGGTCTGCATGCCCTCCCAGCAGTTGTGGGAGTTGAGGTAACTGAGGGAGGTCCCCCAAGCTCCCTGCTGCCCATTCCTCCCAGGTCACTGGAGGCAGGAAGTGTGTGTGTCCCCAACCACAGCACAGCCTTCCCTAACCCTGGCCTCTCTTTCCTCCCTGATTTCCACAGAGCAGTCTGACAGCGTCCTGGGCCCCAAGTGCATCTCCTGCGACCGAGTGTTTTCTCCCTACTTCAGAAAGGAGCCGCTGTACCAGCTTCCCTGTGGCCACCTCCTGTGCCGGCCCTGCCTGGGCGAGAAGCAGCGCTCCATGCCCATGGTGTGCACAGCCTGCCAGCGGCCATTCGGCAGCCAGGACGTGCTGCGGGTCCACTTCTGAGGGGGTGCCTCAGCCAGGGGCTGCTCGGAGCTGCCTTTTCCTTCCCAGAGGGCTTTCCTCTGTCACCTCACAGTGTAGCACACCTATTCCTGCTTAAGTGGCAACAGGATAACAAAGCCATAGGCTGGACCAGCCAGCTGGGCCTGCCCTCCTGTGCCTCCCAGCCAGAGCCCAGGGTCTGCTGGTGCCAGCTTGCTCTTGCCCAGAGCCCCGAACGTGGGCAGTGTGAGCGCCTCCCCTGCAGGGTCGCCTGCAGAGAGCCGGTGGCAGGGGCTGTGGAGTGCCTGACTCAGCCGTCATGCGCAGCCGCTGCAAGCCTTAATAAAGTGACAGTGACGTCCGCTGTGGTTTCCTCCTAGCAGAGTACCTGTCTGTGTCGTCACACTCAGTCCCCCGTGATACACAGCACAGCTGTCACAGGGCAGCCAGCTGTTCATATCACATTGGAGCTCAGCACCGTCCTATTGTGAGGTTCAGGGTTCCCGCCCGCAGCTCTGCAGGTGGCTGGGTGGATGGTGGGGGGTAGGGGCGCCCAACTCCCCACTGGTCAGGCACCAGCAGTGAGCTCAGCCTGGCACCAGCAGTGAGCTCAGCCTGGCACCAGCAGTGAGCTCAGTGAGCACTGCCCTCTTAGGATGCGTGTGCACAGTGCAGGGAAAATCCTTGCTTTTAGACATTTTTTTTGTTTACATTCAAAATTGAGTCTTACGGCGCCTCAGATGGAGAGTATGTGACAGCACATGGATTGTAGCCCTAGAACATGTCCAAAAATGGACCCCGCTCCTCCTGACACCCTTTGATTGTGTTTGGGCGGCGGCGTAGTCCAGAGCATCCCACACAGGCCCTGGGGACTGGCCCAGAGCCGCCCACTCCTGCTCCCTGCAGGAATGCAGAGCACTCAGGTTGGGCTTTAGATCCCAGGGGCTCACTTTGTCCCCAAGGCGGCTGCAGGGAGGCAGTGGCCTCTTTGCCTCCCTTTCCTGCTGGGGCCCTGGTGGCTGTGGCAGGAGTGCTTGTTAGGGATAGGCCTGCAGTCTCAGGTGAACAGCCCACTTCCCCTGCAGCTACTGCCCATCCTCAAAGCCCTCAAACTCTGGCTTCCTTCTTTGGGCAGGATGAGCTGCCTGTCTACCCCAAAACCCCAGCGCCCATCTGCAGGGGCCTGGAGACCTGCATTCCAGTCAGGGTCTGGCTCCCTAAGAAGCCATAGTAGGAAAGCAGACCCTGATTTGGGCCCTGGTGAAGCCACCCACACACCTGCAAGATGGGCCACTTATATCTTAAGACTAAAAAGAAGTAGGCTCCTCTCTACAGCCTCGTTGCTAGCCACATGCGAAGCCCTGTTGAACCGTCTCTCCCTAGAAAACACGAACAAGACTTCCGTTGCTGCCAGCCTGCTCCAGGGCGAGTTTATTTCTCACTGGAGCCTGGGGCCAAGCACAAAGCCTGTTCGTGGGAACCCACAGAGTTCAACTCCACAGACCAGGACCTGCAGCCTTGCCACTTCCCGGCTGCACTACGGAGAGTCTGCACGCACGCTCCTGCACACAGGGTTTGCAGGACATGAGTCTCTTCCCTGTATGGAACCGTGTACTCCAGGGAGGCACCGTGTCTGCTGGTGGCATGCTGTCCCGGGGGCCTCTGGGAGCAGAAGGCAGGACTGCAGTGGTGTAGCATGGTGTAGCGTGGGGAGGCAAGCAGCCTCCTGTCTCCAGATCATCCCCACTCAAGGGACGCAGGGACATAACCTGTTCATCTGCCCCGTGGGGCCACGGCCTCATTCGCAGGGGCTGAGCCATAGCAGCTGTGGTTCCGCTCCAGTGGCCCCTTCAGCTCAGAATGTGGGCGGGTGCAGGCACAAACGAGTTCTGGGCAGAATTAGTCCTGGAGATAGAAGAAATAGAAGAACCAAATCGCCAGGAAGAAGAGGAGCAGCTGCTCGGTGCTCACGGCGTAGCCACCTGTCTCCCCACAACTGGATGACCGGCTTCTGCAGCTCCTGGTTCCCGGGGCCGGGTAGCTGCCCCTAGCCCCGCACCTGTCCTGCTTCTTCCTGTGGGTCTCCAGCTTGAGGTCACTCAGCTGCTGAACTCTTTTCCATTCACCAGAAATGGGTCCTTCTGACGCCTGGGCTGCTAGAAGTAGGTCTGCAGACAAAGAGAGCTCTCCCTAGAGGGACCCGCCCACACGGCCACAACACAGCCTCCCCCTGTGGCATTGTGACAATGGGCTGCTTGCCATTGTGATGGCCACAAGGGTGGGGGATGGGGCTGCTGCATGGTCCTCTCTCCACAGATCCCCTGTGGACAGTCTGTGAACAGGACCCGGGCTGGCACCGGCTCCTGCTGTCACCTCATGGGGCTACATTCCTAGTGCACAGCAACAGCTTCAGTTCTGGGTTGGAAGGGAGTGGCTGGGCTGGGAATTGCCACAAGCCACACTGGTCAGCGTGATGGGCTCCAGCCACCTGCCACTATTTAGTTAAAAGTAAATAAAGTACAGAACTAGGGACCGGCGCAATGGCTCAGTGGCTGAATCCTCACCTTACACACTTCAGGATCCTGTACGTGTGCTGGTTCATGTCCAGGCTGCTTCGCTTCCCATCCAACTCCCTGCTTGTGGCCTAGGAAAGCAGTAAAGGATGGCCCAAAGCTTTGGGATCCTGTACCCATGTGGGAGACCCAGAGGAAGCTCCTGGCTCCTGGCTTTGGCTCAGCTCCTGCTGTTGTGGCCACTTGGGGAATAAAGCAGCAGACAGAAGGTCGGTCTTTCTTTCTGTAAATCTGATTTTCCTTTTCAGATTTTTTTTCTTATTATTATCATTGGAAAGGCAGATATACAGAGGAGGAGAGACAGAGAGGAAGATCTTCCGTCTGATGGTTTACTCCCCAAGCAACCGCAATGGCTGGTGCTGAGCCAATCTGAAGCTAGGAGCCTGGAGCTTCTTCCGGGTCTCCCAGCAAGTTGCAGGGTCCCAGGGCTTTGGGTTGTCCTCAACTGCTTTCCCAGGCCATAAGCAGGGAGCTGGATGGGAAGTAGAGCTGCCGGGATTAGAACCAGCGCCTATATGGGATCCTGGCACGGTCAAGGCTAGGACTTTAACCACTATGCTATTGCACCAGACCCTCCAGATTTGTTTTCATTGGAAAGATTTACAGAGAGAGGGAGAGACAGAGAAACCTGGAAAGGAATGGTGCAGAGGCCTGTGTTGTGGCATAGTGAGTTAACCTGCTGTTTGGAATAATACCTGCTTGCCATATTGGAGTGCCAGTTCTGGTTTAGGTTGGGAGTGAACTAACCATTATTTCACAGATAGATCAAAAAAAAAAAAAAAAGAAAAAGAAAAGAAAAACGGGCTCTGAAACTGCAGCTAGCATTTCTCTAGAGCCAATTACTGTGCAGGTCAGCGGTCAGCCGAGGGTACAGGAGAGAAACCTCCAGGTTGAAACGTGAGCAGAGTGCCCATCGGGTGACTGCTGCCAGCCCATGTGGAGGCCCTGAGTGTTCTGGAAGGCTGCCTGGGCTGAGGGGACTCCACACAGCCCTCGGCCTGCGTGTGCCGCCCAGAGGTGGGGTCGGAAAGAGAACCGGGCCTTAGGGAAACCACGCGTGGACTCCAACCTCCGGAGCCCTGTGTGGTCGCCGGACGGCAGCGTGAGGGTGGAAGGGACATTGGCACTCTAGTCAGAAAGGACTGGTGAACCTGCAGGCCAGGGGTGGCCTGGGGCCGGGACGCCATCTACACTGGCGAAGCGGACTGGGTTTGAAAACCACGGGGTAGAGGGGCTGGGCTGCCCCACCCCCCCTCCACCTGCCTGCCCGGGTCCAGGGTGCCCTCCCCGGGACCCACGCCGCTCTGACTAACTCAGCCGAGGAAATGCAGCCCCATGGCTCATTAATTAGGAAGTCTGTAATTAGCCGGCTCGGCGACCGGGCCTCCCGAGGGAGAAGCCTGCTTCCTCCCGCCCCGGAGACCTGCTAGCCCAATGAGATGCGGGGCACGTTCCCGCCCGCGGAGCCGGAGAACTTCGGTAATGACCGAGAGGAAGGGCGGGAAGCACCCCAACCATCTGCGGGAGCCGCCAGGGTGCAGCCTGGGGCGCTGGGGGGCCGACCCCCGCCAGGGCTGCGATCCCGCTCCCTCCCGCAGGGACACTACCTCCCCGCCCCGGGCGACTTTAGAGATCTGAAACCTTAGCTTTCTCCGTTCCTCCCGACCCCATTCCACCGCGACCACTGAGAAGCAACGACAGAAAATAACAACAAAACCCAATAACTTTATTTGCAAGGCGAGAGCTTCCATACACTGGTTCGCTGCTCAAGTGGCTGGGCCAGAGCGGGAGCAGGTGTCCCACGTGGGTGGCAGAGCCTTCCCTCTGGCCTCCCAGGCACTGCATGAGCAGGAAGCTGGAGTGTGGGGCTGGAGCCAGTGTGACGGCAACATGGGTGTCCTCACTGCTGGGTTATACACATCGGTTCTTGGAAGCTATTTTAAATTGTCAGGTGCCAGCAGCCCACCTGCCTCTGAGGCCAGAGCTGGACTCTTCTGCTTGGGGCTACGTCAGCCAATAGAGCATGGCAGGATTGGTCCCGTGTGGTGTCTGAGTTTGTCATAAATGCCATATCACCGCCTCCTCATTTTCTATTTAGAGCATTCACTTAAAAAAAAAAGATTTATTTATTTTTATTGCCAAGTCAGATATACAGAGAGGAAGAGAGACAGAGAGGAAGATCCTCCATCCAATGATTCATTCCCCTAGTGTCTGCAATGGCCACAGCTGAGCTTAACCAAAGCTAGAAGCCAGGAGCTTCTTCCAGGTCTCCCACGTGGGTGCAGGGTCCCAAGGCTTTGGGCCATCCGCCACTGCTTTCCCAGGTCACAAGCAGGGAGCTGGATGGGAAGCGGGGCTGGAATTAGAACCAGCGCCCATGTGGGAACCCAGAACGTTCAAGGTGAGGACTTTAGCTGCTAGGCCACCGTGCCGGGCCCAGGAGCGCTTCTTCTTCAGTAGACACCAGTCCCACAGAC